ATCAAATCAAGCCTTTATTGAAGCACACCGGTGGCGGCTGACCAGAACATAAAGCTGTTTCCCTGATCAGCCCTGAACAATTACAAGGGCACTACTTATAAGCCTGAAAACCACAAAAGGGATGTTCAGGGGGTCTAGCCAATGCAAGCAAGCCAGGTTACAGAAGCAGGACAGTGCAGTCAAGTGGAGGGAAGCCTAATCAATGACAGTTAGCCCAGTCACCCCAGTTACAGAAACAGAGCCCCGTTACCCTAGTTACAGAAACAATACCCCATTAGGTAGTTCCGTGTTTTTAAAGGTTACTATATCAAAAGGAAAAGAACATCTTGCTCCAGTCATGACTCTTCTACTTGGCATGGTTGTTTTACAGGATGAAGTCATAAAACAAAATGGAGTCACATTTGCTCCTATTATCACAGTATAATGGTCTCAAAGTGAACATTTCAAAAAGCTGGAGGAAGAGGGATTCCTTGTTTTCAGATTATATATATAATATGAAGATATGTGGGTGTGGGTGTTTGTGTGTACCTGTTAAGGTCTATAAACAAGTCAGGATGGCACCTGGCAAATGTTAGAGTCTGTAAACATGTTCTGGATGGCACCTGGCATATTGCCAGAGGGAGTGGTTTGTGAAGTAAAGCCAGAGAGCCATTAGGTGTGGAGATTTCTTATTGGTTGACTGATGTATCTAGTTTATGTTAATTAAAATAAGCTGTGTGGAATGTATAAATACCCCTCCTGTCCTACAATAAACGGCTCCTACTCCTGCTGTATCAATGTACACAAGTTGTTCGTCACCCCCCGGCTATTTTGCTGCAGCCGGACTGCCGCATATGGTGGCCCGTTACGAGGAGCCCCGGGACACTCAGGGGTAAGTGACGAAAAAAAGCTTCCCGTCCATAGATCAAACGGGAGCAAATCTGCTCATCCCTAGGCAGATAGGTCGAGAGGAAACATGGCCATTTTGAGAAAATGAAGAAGATTGATACAGTATGTTTGTGTCTTGTTTTGTCTTGAAATGCTGTATTGTCTTTGTGATGAAAAGATGGAAGGGGTGAGAAGTAAATTACTAAGGGAAGGAGGCACCCCAGTGGAACCAAGAGCAGTTAGGGCATGTGTTGATGGAAGCCCAGGAACTCTAGTAAGAAAGAAGAAAAAGTTCAGAGGAGGAAGGATTATCAGGAAAAAAGTTGCAGCAAAAGGCTATTACTGAATACTTTTCTTTATCAGAGGGTGTGTGAATCGGGGCGGCGGCTGCCTCGAGCCGGCCATGGCGCAGCAAGGACTTTCCAAGTGGTGACAGCCGGCTCTTCCACTGCCGGGAGCCCAAATCTAAACCTGACCCAGAGGCACAGTCTCGCAGGCTCTTGCTTCCTGTGCCCGGTGGCAGTTTGAGTAGGGACACTCCCTGGACTCTCTCCGGGGCCATCTGGGGCTGCCCCGGATGCTGCAGGAGGAAGACGGCCTGCGTCCCTGAAGTTTGATCATTTCCAAGGCCAGTAACTACAATGGTTCTCCCACATCTGAAAGCTGATGAGTATTGAGCACTATTAAGGCTTATTTCAAATGTAAAAAATCTTGAGATAATGTACTAAATTGTTCAGAAGGTTGTTTTCTTAGTGGAATGCTACAGGATTTTCTTTAGCCAGCGTTGTGGAGTTCCTGCCTTCGTCCCAGTGCAGGTGAAAACAAAGGTGAAAGAATTTCCAGTGTTTCTGACAACCAGACGAGACTTCAGATCCAGCCTGCAGAACTTACCTGGACTGTGAGTTAATCTATTGAGACACTGTTTTATCTGGATTGAGACAACAAACTGTAATCTACAACAAATTGTAACTCGGTATCTTTGCTAATTGTGTCACTAGGAGTGGTGACTAATCCCCATAGAAGTGCAATGGTATTAGATTGGAAGGATCCTGAAGGATGTGAAGGAACTATACAG